TTATCATTATATTATATTATTATTATCATTATTTATTACTATATTACTAATCACACAATCCGTCATAATAACAGTATCAAGGACTCCAGCAGCAATGGGCTCTGTCCTGAGGATGGCACACCACACAGTGGCCCTCCTCGGCATCAGTGTGGTTCCATAGCTTTCTGCTTGAATTTGTGTCCGACCTGACAACATGAGCAACATAAGTTTTCCATACTCATTAGGGCTACATGATGACACGGTGGAATGGAGAGCGGGACGGGTGCTTAAGAAGTATATTTGTTAAAGGATGGTATAAAATGGGGTTCATTCGAAATGAAAATGCAAGTAAGGTTATTCACTTGTAAACATAAAAAAAAAAACATGTTCTACACACACACATGAATAAAGAAAAGGAAATTAAATAACAAAAAAAAACACACACACCACCACACACAAACACCACACACACACACATATTATATATATATCTATATATATATATAGTGTGTGTGTGTGTGTGTATTGATGTTATGTGTGTGTGGGTGTGGCTGTGGGTGGGGGTGTGTCGTGTGTGGTGGTGTGTGGGTGTGGGGTGGTGTGTGTGTGTGTGTATTTGTGTGTGTATTTTATTATGTATATTATAATATATTATATATATATATTATATATATATATATAATATCAGTATATATATTATATATATATGCATTTATATACAGGTTTATATGTACATTTATACACATACATATTAAACATATATAAAGATAATATATTATATATAATATATATATATATATTATATATATATATATATAGATACATATATACATAATATTATAAATTTTTAAAAAAAATATATATATATATATATATATATATATATATCTATTATACGTATTTGTATATTGACATTTTATGATTAGAAATAAAGTTTTCCCAATAGTTTGTTAATAGTCTAACATTGGATTTTCTAAATTTAACCAAAATAATTCTGAAAACAATAGTAATATTAGTAGAAAACCTACCACACTTTTCAGAAAAAAATCTGTCATTATTAAATGGAAATTTATTCTATTCCTTCTGATGAAAACACTCTCTGACTCGAAGAAATCAAACATTTATGGTAACTCGGTTATTTAGTAAATTAACATGCCTTTATGTGCGCTCAACCTCACACACACACACACAGACACACATTCACACACATATATACATACATACATACTTACACACACACACACACACCACACACACACACACACACACACACACCGACACACACAAAGAGAGAGACGTGAACAGACAGAAACAAGAAAAACATCATAGTCCCATACAAAGGCTCAACTGACCTTGACAACTCCCTAACACTTAGCCTGAGGCTCTCCGATTCTAGCAGCCGTGCGTCAAAACTTGTTTTTGGCCTCCTCTCCGCCGCAGCAAACAGTTTCAGCAGACGGCTCAGTTTCATGGCCCCGCACCTGCTCCAGGGCAACCAGGACCTCCGCTCTAGGAAACGAGCTCCTCGGTAGTGTCGGTCAAAGCTCCCCGCCCGCCCATGATGTGGGTACTCCTTCGAACAGCCGGGGTTCAAAGGCTGCCCCTCCCACCCAGGCCTTTCCATCCTAATAGTGATAAGGTGGATACGCTGCAGTCCAGCAGTGAAAAGTGGTTGCACCATCAACGAGCCTCATAACATTAGTGGTTGAACATCATTTGCTTCATTGCACAAAGAAAGGCATTGGCAAGGATGGTTCTTTGCGACACATCAAAGATTGTACAGCCCTGAAGAGATGAATCAGGCTCATAACAATTCTAGATTTTATCTGAACAAAAAAAAAAGCAGAAACACAACATTCCCGACATTAATAATGCAAAGCTCTCGTGCATATTATTAGTGGGACCAGTGTCTGAACAATAAATATTTAGTGTTCTTAACAACAAACTTTTCCACAAACACTGGTCACCACAAGGTCATCAGGTCCAGACACACCACACCAGAACCATTTACCAGCAAGCGAATTACATCGAAACCATATACACTTCCTGACTGAAAAGTCCAGTTGTAAGACCATCAGTGTCTACATCAACAATTGGCGTATGCCTCTCAGAAGTAGAATGCGGAGACGAAGGCATCAGCTACGTCCACCCCCCCTCCCTCCACACCCTATCCGCCCTCCCCTCCTCTGCCCACGACCAGTCCACCTTTAGTGACTCCCCAACACTTCAGAAGCAGTACTTAAGGCTGCAAATTAATCTTCTTTTTTACTGGATATTGGGAGTCTGGCGAGTTCTCCGGAGGCTTTGTATAAAATCACACCATCGACTATTATTTTTTTACAAACAATACAAAATGTCAATACACGTACAAAGGACACGTAACAAAAAAAAACACTAAACATTACACAAACATCGAACAACATTAGACGTGACACGGTAACACCGTAACGGCACAGACGTGACACGAAAACATACGTAACGGTAAAACTAGACGTACAACGTAACCAAAACGGTAACAGTAAAACTAGACGTAACACGTCACAAACACGGAATACTGAAACGTGCCAGAGCACAAACGGATCACTAATAACACATAACACGTAACACACAAACGCATAACGAAACGTAACAGACACTAAAAACGCGTAGTACGTACCTAAAACACTAAAACATGACGCGGAACACGTACTGTCACCCACACAACGACACGGGACGTGCACATTAACTATAGTACAGCGAGAACACTTGGTGTGACGGTAGCAGGAATTCGGAGGTTCGGGTGCGAGCCATACGGGTCAGCGGTACATAACCTGCAGGTACAGCAGCCGGCGGGTAAGGAAGCCAAGGTGCTGTCGTCCGCCTCCTCCAGGAGCCTACGTCCCTCTGTCCTTCTCA